AAAGCAGTGTATTGCAAGTGCACCCACTTTACCTTCCGCGTAATTTGTTGTATAAACCTAAAAGCATCATACCTAAGCAAAACCGCGAACTTATTTAAGAACGCAGTAAATTGTAAAATGTAAAAATGCAACATTTAGTTAAAATGAAAATACTGGCACTTAAACTTATTCATAGAGGAGAGGAAGAAATATTAGTAAATTATTAACGGTGATGACCATTAGGTATTGCTGATCAAAATGTTGTTTTTTGGGGGTGGTGTGGGGGATGGAAGGGTTGCATCAACCTTCAGAAGAGAAAATAATAGAGTAAATATTTTTATAATGTATTCACCAAACATGGTATACTTTCCTGTGGTACCAACAAGCAAGCGAAAATAAGTTTCTCGATACCAGTAGACATATTGTTTCATTAAGCACGAAAGCTATCTTAACGTGATATAACAACTATATCGATAACGTCTACGATTTTTCCATTTATCTCTTTTTTGGAGAACCAATATTATCCTTTGATTTGTTGACCATCTACATATCCTTTTCCCATTGTTTATGGATAAGCAATAAAGTGTATCGCCTAATCTGTTTATGACGATTTTGATAAATTGATGCAACAATAACATTCAAAATAAAGCCAATCGATATCTCACTTAGAAAACATTCTGTTGAAGTGTTAAAGTATTGATCTATCAAGAAATTTCTTCGATCTTTGGCAAGTACATTTATAAATGCTAGAGAGGAAAACATGAGGTCAAAAATTGGTACCTTTCTAATATTGTAGCATACTGACATGTCCTAGTGCGAAATTCTGTATTTCAGCACTTCGTTAGCACAATGATCAAGTTATCTTCATCGACGAGTAGATACCAACATAAATTATTAAAAAGACATTTTAATAACTGTTCATCATTTACATACTAGGATTTTAAATTATGCGTTAAAGCTTTTTTGGAAGAGGCAACATGTTCCTGAACAGTCTTGTAAGACTTAACGATAACAATGTACTAAGCCATATCATGAAAGAAAGAAATAATAAATAAATAATCTCTTTTCAAGTACATTATATTTCATTTTAATTGGATACAAACTGAGACTATGTGATTGTGGATTAAATGACTAAGTTCGTTCCGTATACAATAAATTAGTTTTTATAAATTTCACTAAACCTAAGAAATGAACTATTTATCTCAAAAATTTAAAACTTCCAGTTACACTATATCTTTATCTGCATAAACACACAATGCAACTTACTCGAGCTAGTATAATTTTATTTATATATCATCTTTGAGATGTAGATATTTATTTAAACTTATAACAATTTCAAGTCAATAAGTAAATCCTTGCCATACACCATACAGAATGGAAATTGCTATACCTTGATTCTATGGAAGAATACTTGATAAAAGTAGGCAGAATTAATATTTGATACAAATAATAATAATAATAATAATAATAATAATAATAATAATAATAATAATAATAATAATAATAATAATAATAATAATAATAATAATAATAATAGTGTTATGTACATTTAATTTGAATTGTTAATTTATTTAGGTTTTATTACAGGTTTATATATAGTTTGTTTATCATTTTTTTATTACATGTCGTGGATAACTAACAGCGTACCTAGTTGTTCAACTTTATCTTGAATCTGTAACAATTTTGTAAACAACTTTTCTTTCTGAGCGAGGATCATGGGACAATATATTATTTTATACATTTATACTTGGACTATTGTTATTTCCATCATATTCCTTATCGTAACAAACTTTTGTAATAATTCTAGAAAAATAGCTATTTGATCCTCTTCCTAGGTTTTGTTATAAGCGTTAGTTTGTCATCTGATGTTCGTGCATTATGATATTGATAGAGTCAAATGTATTATTTTGTGTCTAGTAATTCATGGGTTGGAATTTATTTCTTCAAATTATTTTATTGAAGTGATTTTTCTCAGAGTGCTCATAAAACATAATATTCTTGGACAGAGAAATTCACTGGGATTTTTAGAGAATTCAACCTGGAATTATATTACTTTGATTCACCAAACGAATGTTGGTACGGCAGAACGATACAGATCACCACATGCACATCAACATATTGAGAACTTTAATAATTAAAACTTGTGGCTGTAATTCTAGGATTATTTCAGATTTAATTCGCAATACCGTAAGTTCCATTTTTTACTTTTCACTTTATATTCTTGGGAAATAAATTGTTTAGTTTTACTGAGTCTGATGCCTCTCGGTGTTTTTTTTTTTGTGTCATTCATTTTAAGACCATTTAATCGCAATAATATGCTGTAAATGTTAACACTGATTTCTTCGTAACTTGTTTTGCAAACCAAACAACATCTTACTTCAAAAGAACTCGTCATCCATACGACGGATAGAATAAAATGTCGTGAAATATGATGTAGCACTCAAAGACTAATCTTTCTCGTAAATAGCAGACAGTTGAAAGCAGATTTAAACATAAAATGAAAATACATTTGTGGCAATTAAGGAGGAAATATTTAGACAAATCAGGTACAACTTCCGCATGTGACATATTCCAAATAAATAGTTCACTGAAATTTAAGTTTAAAAAAACCAACAAAACAATCAAGAAAAAAAAAATGCAGATGACACACACAACAAGATGAAGCGAATAAATTCCCAAGCGTCTTTTCTGTACTAAACAAGATATATTTAATTGAGCTAATTTTAATAAAGATGATAATTTTAAATCGTTCTCTACGAATATTCGAACCAAGATTCACGGGTAAACTTCACCCATCGCCTTGCATGGACACACCAGCCCATATTTCTTCACGACTAAACAAGCATCACCAAATATTGAAGCGACGGAATAGGTGTTATATGCACTCATGCTCAGCAGAGACACTCGCATGACGACCTAATAATTTTCATCTATGTACAGCCATTCTGGATTCCTACAACATAAATCAAAGTATATACGATTAATTACATAGAATTATAAATGTACACCAGACAGAACAAGGTAAGGCGATGGGTGCCGTTAACAAGGACCTGTGTTCGAATCTTTTGAGGACGAAGTAAAAAATTATCTAACCTGTATGATCTTCTTCTTCTTCTTCTTCTTCTTCTTCTTCTTATTATTATTATTATTATTATTATTATTATTATTATTATTATTATTATTATTATTATTATTATTATTATTATTATTTGTATCAAATATTAATTCTGCCTACTTTTATCAAGTATTCTTCCATAGAATCAAGGTATAGCAATTTCCATTCTGTATGGTGTATACTATAATCCCCCTCTCTAATATATATATATATATATATATATATATATATATATATATATATATATATATATATATATATATGGTAGTGACCTATAATATCAAGGAAGTAGAACAATTCTGCTACTTGTGAAGAGCCTATGGTAAAATCTGGGCATTTTCGGGATAGCCGGGATAAAGATAATTTATATAATTGTGTCTTATGAAGCGGTTTTGATCGTTTTAAAGATGGCTGCGAATTCATGGAAGATGACCCACGTTCTGGAAGATTGCAGTTGGTGAGTCAGAAGTGACTGATGTGAAGATGCTAAATATTCAGTGGAAGACATTTCTGTTAACACGCATATTAATTCGTCAGCTTTTTTCAAATTAAAGAATCTCTTTGAAACTTAAAAAGGTTTGTACATGATTGAATCCTCATTTGTTGACGGATGGTGAAAAACAGATTCGTACTATATTTCTGAATAACAATATTTACGTTGGGACTGATAGAGCAACGCTAGAAAACTTGCACAAACCTGTATAGTATTAGGTTATTATTGGGTCGCTCACAGCCTTAGCAATGTAAAATGTCAATTTTTCATATATTTGTATACTCGCATATTACGTCATCTTAAAAATCGTTTTTGCTTTGACATTTTTTTTTCTTAAACTACCTAGTGGAAATAACTTCGATAGGTCCAAGTCTGGGATATAACAGTAAAATTACTGAATTATGTATTGAGGTTAGTTTCCGGTAACGACAGTATGCTCTTTAACCATCTAACATTAGGACATAGATTTACTAAATCGTTTCATAGGCAAGTCAGAACAAATATGTTGAGCTATATTCAATTTACTTTTCATCGGGTACAAATCGGAGCAGTGCGTCTATGGCTCGATTGATTGCTCTTGTTCGCTTGATACATCATTGCTCTAAGATTTCGCTAATTACAGGAAATTAATTATTTATCACGAAAAACTGAAAATTGGTTTCATTCATTTTTAAGTTGATGAAGTCTTAATCTATTACAAAAATCATAAAATATATAAGATTAGAAGACTGTGCTCAGTTATCTTTTACGCTTCTTCTTGAAAATTTCGAGATTTTTTTTGGAAGCAGATTTAAAGTCCGTAAATACATATTAGTCATGTGTGTATGCACCGCAAGTGACAACGCATCTTTCTTGCAACCAAATAACATCGCGTTGAAAATAAAATTCGTTAGCACTACAAAAGACAGACAAGGAAGTTGTGAAACACGATGTAACGTTAATATATAAAACTATAAAATTGTCATTTCTCGTTAATACAACAGGCAATTGTAACAAAGAAAGATTTGCTCACTGGATGAAAATACCTATCTGATATGCTTCTGAGAAAGATAGATTTGCTCACTGGATAAAAATACCCTTCTGATATGACTGTGATAAAGACAGATCTGCTGATTGGATGTAAATACCTTTCTGATATGATTATAAGAAAGATAGATTTGCTCACTGAATGATGTGATGTGATTATGATTTTTAACGTAGCTTTAACAATTTTTCAGTCATATCGCTACTATGTCTGCAATGTTGCAGTTTATAGTGATGTCTAGCACTGGGGCATTATGCCACAGACATGTAGCATGATGTCCCAACCAGTCTCATTATCCTGACACCAGGTCAACCAGTCATAACACTAACCTCCTAATGCTGAGTGCCAAGCGAGGTACCTGTTAGTACCAGTTTTGTAAGTCTTTGGTATGACTCAATCGGGGATCAAACCCACCACCTCCCGCATCCGAGGCGGACGCTCTAACCACTTGGCCACCGGAGCGTTTGCTCACTGAATGAAAATACCTCTCTGATACGATTATACAAAAGACAGATTTGCTCACTGGGAGAAAAACACTGTTGATATGAACGACGAACAAAACTTTTTGAGAAATATAATTTCCGAAGTTGGAATTTCTAAATCAAGAGTGCAATAGAGTTTTCTTCAAACAATCAGACACTCCACTCCACTCCACCCCACCCCACCCCATCTCCATCCTCACCCACCCCAACTCACCTCACTCCACCCACCCAACACCACCCCAACTCTGAACAAAATATACACAAACGAAATAAATGCACAACTGAATCTACTGATTTGAACCAGGAGTATTTATTCGATCCAAGTTTTAAAAATTCCTCTGTAATATGACTCAAAATTAAATTATCCATCCTAGATACTGAAAACAGTAAAACACTAAAAAGTTTTTTAAATATCATTTGCAGTTTTACAAATTATAGATAAACCTTTCATCAACTCAAGTTAAACAATATTTTCAACGGTTTAATGTCTATCATTTCTCTTCAAAAAGTCTTCACATAACAATGATTACTGTAGATTTGGCTTTAATATCCATTATTTAAATTTGTATAATATGATAACGAGCAACAACCATTCAAACAGTCTCTCAAATATAACAGTATTTAATCAACGACAGCCACGATACAATATTTTCTATATTGAGTTAACTTTTCTTAGTTGAAGTTAAGTAAATGCAAACTGAATTAGATCTAACTTTGATTTGTAATTATAATTTATGCAGTTTTGATATGGATAACAACAATCTGAACAATTAATCTCTTCAATAACACCCACTTTACTCAATGAGAACCACAATTTAACAATGTATTCTAGTGATATAAATTATTTGTTGAATTTTACAAACGTTTGTTGCTTTTCTTTACTAATACTTGTTTTAAATCATACCTGTTGGATGATGTTTAGAACTTCTGCTTGTTTATAGTAGCTTGTTGACTGTTGTTTTGAACGTTCCTTGTCTATAGTAGTCTGTTGGATGATGTTTTGCACGTTCCTTGTCTATTGTAGTCTGTTGGATGCTGTTTTGAATGTTCCTTGCCTATAGTAGTCTGTTGGATGATGTGTTGAATGTTCCTTGTCTATAGTAGTCTGTTGGATGATGTGTTGAATGTTCCTTGTCTATAGTAGTCTGTTGGATGATGTTTTGAACGTTCCTTGTCTATAGTAGTCTGTTGGATGTTGTTTTGAACGTTCCTTGTCTATAGTAGTCTGTTGGATGATGTTTTGCACGTTCCTTGTCTATTGTAGTCTGTTGGATGCTGTTTTGAATGTTCCTTGCCTATAGTAGTCTGTTGGATGCTGTTTTGAATGTTCCTTGTCTATAGTAGTCTGTTGGATGATGTTTTGAACGTTCCTTGTCTATAGTAGTCTGCTGGATGAGGTTTTGAACGTTCCTTGTCTATCGCAGTCTGTTGAATGATGTTTTGAATGTTCCTTGTCTATAGTAGTCTGTTGGATGATGTTTTGAACGTTCCTTGCTTATAGTAGACTTTTGGATGATGTGTTGAATGTTCCTTGTCTATAGTAGTCTGTTGGATGATGTTTTGAACGTAACCTTGTCTATAGTAATCTGTTGGATGATATTTTGAACGTTCTTTGTCTATCGTAGTCTGTTAGATGATGTTTTGAACGTTCCTTGTTTATCGTAGTCTGTTAGATGATGCCTTGAACGTTCCTTGTCTATCGCAGTCTGTTGAATGATGTTTTGAATGTTCCTTGTCTATAGTAGTCTGTTGGATGATGTTTTGAACGTAACCTTGTCTATAATAGTCTGTTGAATGATGTTTTGAACGTTCTTTGTCTATAGTAGTCTGTTGGATGATGTTTTGAAGGTTCCTTGTCTATAGTAGTCTGTTGGATGATATTTTGAACGTTCCTTGTCTATAGTGGTCTGTTGGATGATGTTTTGAATGTTCCTTGTCTATAGTAGTCTGTTGGATAATATTTTGAATGTTCCTTGTCTATAACAGTCTGTTGATGATGTTTTGAACGTTACTTGTCTAAAGTAGTCTGTTGAATGATGTTTTGAACGTTCCTTGTCTACAGTGGTCTGTTGGATAATGTTTTGAATGTTCTTTGTCTATAGTAGTCTGTTGGATGATGTTTTGAACGTTCATTATCTATATTAGTCTGATGGATGATGTTTTGAACGTTACTTGTCTATAAGAGTCTGTTGGATGATGTTTTGTACGTTCTTTGTATATAGTAGTCTGTTGAATGATGTTTTGAATGTTCCTTGTCTATAGTAGTCTGTTGGATGATGTTTGGAATGTTCCTTGTCTATAATAGTCTGTTGGATGATGTTTTGAACGATCTTTGTCTATAGTAGTCTGCTGGATGATGTTTTGAACGTTCCTTGTCTATAGTAGTCTGTTGGATGATGTATTGAATGTTTCTTGTCTATAATAGTCTGTTGGATGATGTTTTGAATGTTCCTTGTCTATGACAGTCTGTTGATGATGTTTTGAACGTTACTTGTCTAAAGTAGTCTTTTGAATGATGTTTTGAACGATCTTTGTCTATAGTAGTCTGTTGGATGATGTTTTGAACGTTCCTTGTCTATAGTAGTCTGTTGGATGATGTTTCAAACGATCCTTGTTTATCGTAATCTGTTTGATGATGTTTTGAACGTTCGTTGTCTATAGTAATCTGTTGGATGATGTTTTGAACGTTCTTTGTCTATCGTAGTCTGTTAGATGATGTTTTGAATGTTCCTTCTCTATAATAGTCTGTTGGATGATGTTTTGAATGTTCCTGGTCAATAGTAGACTGTTGAATGATGTTTGGAATGTTCCTTGTCTATAGTAGTCTGTTGGATGATGTTTTGAACGTTCCTTGTCTATAATAGTCTGTTGAATGATGTTTTGAACGTTCTTTGTCTATAGTAGTCTGTTGGATGATGTTTTGAAGGTTCCTTGTCTATAGTAGTCTGTTGGATGATGTTTTGAATGTTCCTTGTCTATAGTAGTCTGTTGGATGATGTTTTGAATGTTCCTTGTCTATAGTAGTCTGTCGAATGATGTTTTGAACTTTTCTTGTCTATAGTAGTCTGTCGAATGATGTTTTAAACGTTCCTTGTCTATAGTAGTCTGTTGGATGATGTTTTGAAGGTTCCTTGTCTATAGTAGTCTGTTGGATGATGTATTGAACGTTCTTTGTCTATAGTAGTCTGTTGGATGATGTTTTGAATGTTCCTTGTCTATAATAGTCTGTTGGATGATGTTTTGAATGTTCCTTGTCTATAACAGTCTGTTGATGATGTTTTGAAGGTTCCTTGTCTATAGTAGTCTGTTGGATGATGTTTTGAATGTTCCTTGTCTATAGTAGTCTCTTGGATGATGTTTTGAATGTTCCTTGTCTATAACAGTCTGTTGATGATGTTTTGAACGTTACTTGTCTAAAGTAGTCTGTTGAATGATGTTTTTGAACGTTCCTTGTCTGTAGTGGTCTGTTGGATGATGTTTTGAATGTTCTTTGTCTATAGTAGTCTGTTGGATTATGTTTTGAATGTTCCTTGTCTATAGTAGTCTGTTGGATGATGTTTTGAACGTTCATTATCTATATTAGTCTGTTGTATGATGTTTTGAACGTTACTTTTCTATAATAGTCTGTTGCATGATGTTTTGAACGTTACTTGTCTATAGTAGTCTGTTGGATAATATTTTGAATGTTCCTTATCTATAATAGTCTGTTGATGATGTTTTGAACGTTACTTGTCTAAAGTAGTCTGTTGAATGATGTTTTGAACGTTCTTTGTCTATAGTGGTCTGTTGGATAATGTTTTGAATGTTCTTTGTCTATAGTAGTCTGTTGGATGATGTTTTGAACGTTCATTATCTATATTAGTCTGTTGAATGATGTTTTGTACGTTACTTGTCTATAATAGTCTGTTGGATGATGTTTTGAACGTTACTTGTCTAGAGTAGTATGTTGGATGATGTGTTGAATGTTCTTTGTCTATAGTAGTCTGTTGGATGATGTTTTGAACGTTCCTTGTCTATAGATTTAGTTGAAGGTTCATGTATAATATTAGTCTATTGGTTTTGTATTTAACTTTCCTTTTATATGGTCAATCTGAATATTATTCTTCAATTTTCCAAGGGCCAATTCATAGTATTCTGTTGAAAATAATTTATTTGTTGTTTACAAGTCGTTGTGCTTTTCTTACTATACTTGTTTAAAGTAGTACTGTTGATGATGTTTAGAACGTTCTGCTTGTTAAGTAGTTGTTGGATGTTGTTTTGAATGTTCTTGTCTATAGTAGTCTGTTGGATGATGTTTTGACGTTCATTGTCTATTTAGTATGTTGGATGATGTTTTGAACGTTACTTGTCTATATAGAGTCTGTTGGATAGTTTTGAACGTTCCCTTGTTATAGTAGTCTGTTGGATGTTGTTTTGAACGTTCCTTGTCTATAGTAGTCTGTTGGATGATGTTTGCACGTTTCCTTGTTATATTAGTCTGTTGGATGTGTTTTGAAGTCTTTGCCCTATAGTAGTCTGTTGGATGATGTTTTGAACGTTCCTTGTCTATAGTAGTCTGTTGGATGATGTATTGAATGTTTCTTGTCTATAATAGTCTGTTGGATGATGTTTTGAATGTTCCTTGTCTATGACAGTCTGTTGATGATGTTTTGAACGTTACTTGTCTAAAGTAGTCTTTTGAATGATGTTTTGAACGTTCTTTGTCTATAGTGGTCTGTTGGATAATGTTTTGAATGTTCTTTGTCTATAGTAGTCTGTTGAATGATGTTTTGAACTTTCCTTGTCTATAGTAGTCTTTTGAATGATGTTTTGAACGATCTTTGTCTATAGTAGTCTGTTGGATGATGTTTTGAACGTTCCTTGTCTATAGTAGTCTGTTGGATGATGTTTCAAACGATCCTTGTTTATCGTAATCTGTTTGATGATGTTTTGAACGTTCGTTGTCTATAGTAATCTGTTGGATGATGTTTTGAACGTTCT